CCACCTTAAAAGCTCCCCTCTCTATTCTTCCTCTCGATGGTGATTCTCACGATATTCTTCCAATCTTCCCCTTCTTCTCTTCTAAACCAGTCCTCATACCAATTCAGTAAAAATGTCTTTCGGATCCAAGGCCAAGCTCAACACCGGTGCTGAGATTCCGTACGTCTAAGTTACCCCTCCATCCCCCTGTCGATCGCGATACCCCGCTCTCGCTATCGCGCTCTGCCTCTTGTTTTCCTTACTCTTTATGAGACAAAACATCCCAAACTGACTCTTGGGAACTTCTAGCACTCTGGGATACGGCACCTGGCAGTCCGCCCCCGGCGAAGTCTCCGTCGGTGTCTACGAGGCCCTCAAGGCCGGCTACCGCCACCTCGATCTCGCCAAGATCTACCAGAACCAGCCCGAGGTCGCCCAGGGCATCAAGAAGGCCCTCGCCGAGATCCCCGGCCTCAAGCGTGAGGACATTTGGATCACCTCCAAGCTGTGGAACAACAACCACAAGCCCGAGAACGTCGAGGCTGCCCTTGACGAGACCCTCAAGGAGCTCGAGCTCGACTACCTTGACGTAGGTTCAGCCATCTCCCCTGCCATGCATACCTCTCCTTTGGTGCTAGGTTGGGCGTGGAACGGGCGAGCATTACCCGGCTAACCCCTCACCTACAGCTCTACCTCATCCACTGGCCCGTTGCCTTCAAGAAGGATGGTGACAAGCTCTTCCCCCTCGCCGCCGAGGGTGAGGTCGACCTCGACCAGAGCGTCTCCCTGGTCGACACCTGGAAGGCTCTGATCGACCTCCCCAAGTCCAAGGCCAAGAACATTGGTGTCTCCAACTTCACCGTTGAGGACCTTCAGACCGTCATCGACGCCACCGGTGTCACCCCCGCCGTCAACCAGATCGAGCGCCACCCCCTCCTCCAGCAGAACGACACCCTGATCAAGTACGCCAAGGAGAAGAACATTCACATCACCGCCTACTCTGTACGTTCACCCTTGGTACCCGCACCTACTCTATGTGACAGTGACTAACATACATACAGGCCTTCGGCAACAACGGCTTCGGTCTTCCCCTCCTGATCGAGAACGACGTCGTCAAGAAGATCGCCACCAAGCTCAACGCGACCCCCGCCCAGGTCGTTCTCGCCTGGTCCCAGACCGGTGGCCACTCCGTCATCCCCAAGTCCGTTACCCCGAGCCGCATCCAGTCCAACTTCCAAGAGGTCAAGATCTCGGACGAGGACGTTGCCGCCATCAACGAGATTGGCAAGGAGCCCCGCCGCTACAACATCCCCTTCACCTACAAGCCCCGCTGGAACATCAACATCTGGGACGAGAAGGAGGAGAAGGAGGCCTCCAACAAGGTCGTTCGCAAGCTTTAAGTTTGTGTGTTGTGACATGAAGGAATAAAAACAAAACCGCGTTCCCAGTTTATGATACCATGCGGGCCTTATATAGAAGAAGCCGTAGACGGCCATAGATGGACGACTCTATGAATAATGAAAAGAATTAAGAACACGGCCGGTCGCCCGAAGAGTTGTGAAAACTGGTGTCAATACGGATATGTGAATCGGGTTTCTAGACACTGGCACGATTCGATACTCCTGCGGCGAGACTCAGTCAAATCAGGGCATGTTGTTAAATGGCTCAAGAACCTTGAGCAGTTGACGAGGCACAAGCCTTGGCACAGCATCCACTTCCGGGGCCCGACTTTCCCGGTAATAGTGTTCGTCAAGAGGCTACTCTCTTAGAATAACTTGAGAATGGTTCAGCTTTTCCAATCTACAATATACAGATTTTTGAATTGAATTGATTCCAAATTAGTTCAAGAGTTTATCGAAGATCTCTATTTGTCTCATTGATGATTTGTTAGTAAGTTATCTTGGTGACTTGAAGGGAATTGAAATCTGAGCAGCAGCTGACTAAGCAGACTATCTGGCCTGAAGAGAAGCTGTCAGTACACGCAACGTCCGGAGCCCATCCCCAGCCAATCAAGCTAAAAAGCCCACCTTACACCTTGACTTCTAACAGCCATTTCACCTCTCCTTCACCATGGCGACCAAATATGCCGCGCAAGACCTTTCCGACGCGGCACTGGGAGGTCCAATTGGCCTGAAAAATGGCTACTTTGTCGATAATTACGGACGCACGCTCACCCTGCACGGCCTCAACATCTCCGGAGCAAGCAAACTGCCTACGACGCCAAACGGCTTGTCTCATCTGACCGATGGCTTCTTCGAGCACCGGACGGTGACCTTTATCGGCAGACCGTTCCCACTTGAAGATGCGCCGCTGCACTTCAGACGGCTGCAGGCTTGGGGCCTGCCGCTTATCCGTCTGCTTGTTACGTGGGAGTCGATTGGACACTCTGGGCCGGACCCAGAGACGGATGTTGATCTTGAGTATATCGACTACCTGCGCCAGCTCATCGAGATCATGCCAAGATACGGGATCAAGTGCTTCATCTGCGCTCATCAGGACGTGTGGAGCCGGTTCAGTGGCGGCAGCGGTGCACCCGGGTGGACGTTTGAGGTTGCTGGGCTCGATGTCGAGGCGTTCACTGAGACTGGAGCCGCGTATGTCCATGGCCAGGACGAGCTGAGGAGAGCTACTGCACCTGTGAATGAGAAGGAGCCGAGCGGTCCGTTTGTGTGGCCATCTGGGTACCAAAAAATTGCAGCATCGACGATGGCGACGTTGTTTTGGGCTGGCGACGCTCTGGCGCCAAAGCTGCAATGTCAACGAGCAACAAATGGCAAAGTCGAGACTGTTTCGGCTCAGGAGTTCCTTCAGAGTGCATTCATCGAAGCCTTTGGCCGACTCGCGGATGAAGTTGCTGGACTCGAGGCATGCGTTGGATTTGAGCCGTTGAATGAGCCGCATCGAGGCCTCGTCAATCTTCACGGGTTCGACGGGTGGAACTACGATACCGACTTGCATATCGGATACTACCCTTCCTTGACACAAGCTCTCGCCCTCGCAAGTGGCTACGCTCAGGAAGTCAACTACTACGTCAAGTCCTGGCCGTTCCCTACTCGAATCTCACACAAAACTGTCGTCGACCCTAAGGGAAGATCTGCGTGGTTGGCTACTAAAGTAAATGCATCGACACCACAGAATTATGGTCTCGGGGGGTGTGTATGGCGCGCTCACGGTGTCTGGGACTGGGATGAATCGAAAAAGGGGCCCAAGGTTCTGCAACAAGACTACTTTGAGGTGGATCATCGGCCAGGCCGTGAAGGCAAGCCGCTGGAATGGTACCGTGACTTTTACGGTCCCTTTCTCAAGCGCTTTTCCGACCGCGTCTCACGGAAGTCTTCGCGCCAATTCTGTTTCTTCGAGCCGATACCGAACGAGTTTGTGCCCCCTTGGATTGGTCAGGATGGCAAGGTGGACGAAGCCGGTCAGAAGCAGACTTATGCGACTAAGACTATCATCGACACACCGAGACCAGAGAACCTCGTCTTTGCGCCTCACTTTTACGACCTCAACGTACTATTCAGCAAACATCACTCTTGGATGAGCGTCAACGTCCAGGGCTTGTCGAGAGGCATGTTCATCTTGAAAGCACTCTACTTTGGCGCCAAGGCACTCCGCCAAAACTACCGCACGCAGCTCGCCAACATTCTCAAGTACGGGCAAAAGTCGTTGGGTACCCACGTGCCCGCCCTCATCGGCGAGGTCGGCATACCCTACGACATCAACAACGGCGAAGCGTTCAAGACGGGTCAGTACGATAAGCTACGGGAGCTGATGCACGCCCTCGTTTCCGCCATGGAGGATAACAATCTCGCATTTACGTTATGGAATTACAACCCCGACAACCGGGTCGAGTACGGCGATGGGTGGAACAAGGAGGACTTCTCTGTCGTTAATGGCGACACTGAAGCCAAGCCGGGCCACATTCTGCCAGACTATGCGAACGAAGCGCATGAGGATGACGAGCTATACCGCGGTGGGAGGGTCCTGGATGTGGTTATCCGCCCCTACGCCGTCAAAATTGCAGGTCGCCCAGTTCGTTCGGACTGGAACCCGCGGACACTCCATTACGAATTTGAGTGGACTTCAAAAGCCGAGAGCGACGCCAAGAACAGCAAGAGCCAGCCAGAAATGTCGCGGACGACGGAGATATTTGTGCCAAAGTACCACTACGCAGATCGCAATATCGATATCAAGGTTAGCGACGGAGAGTGGTCGTATGACCCTGATCTGGCGACCTTGTATGTGCACCACGACGGGAGCAAGAGCACGCACCGCTTGACGATTGATATCACGAATATACCGAGGCATCTGATGGAGACTGTGGAAAGGAGGCGGCGGGCGTTCCCGCCTAGTTTCCCATTGAGCCTCGTCTCGCCTAGCACGGAGCTTGCGATTGAGGAGTTGATGATGCCGATGTTATTGCCTGGACTTCTTGTGATTTTGCTGGCTATTGTGACGATGTTTGTCTAGTAGTACGGGGTTAATTCACGATTAAGTAGTAGTGCGGTAGATGGTCGAAGTTGATGGGTTTTTGAATCGGGTGCTTAGATGAGCTTCGTGAGAGGCCTTAGATGACAGGCATAAAGACATATACTGGCTCATGCCTCTTTGACCTCAAAAATAGAAGCATGCCGACAATACTTGAAAGCTGACAAGCTATTTACGTGAGGTTTCGTTAGCTAGTCCCCATTTGGATTCGGGGGTCATAAGGTAGGTACCTACCATCATCAATCTTCGTTTAATCGCGGACCAGGTTTGAACTCCGACATGTGACATTAAAGTAAAAGAAGATGGAGTGGATGATGATCATACAATACCAGAACTAAGAAGCATCTGAAGGTCATATGCAAGGGGCCACTTTTATCTGCCTTGACGCAAATTCGTTGGCTAGGCTTTTGCCCCTCCCCCTCTTTCTGCCCATGCTTCTGTCAACCTTTGCTGAGCTCACGACCACACTCCATTTCACCAAGAGGCCCTCAGCACGCACGATTTATACGTTTGTAAGATAGACCGCCTACTAGCAGATCTCACACCACTGTGAAAGGTTAGCCCACATCACCAATGTCTATCATACAGAGAAAGAATTGTTAACGAGGCTATTAGAGAAGATTTCGCACCGTCTGCTCGGCTACAATATTGCTCCAAGGAGGGTTCATGTATCCTCTTGTGTAGTAGGAAACTACTTGTCCCTCTATCCTCAAGACTCTCATCGTGGAAACTACCAAACACATCCGCAAAGATGATGGGCTACGATGACGACGACGGCATGGGAAGCCGCCTCTTCGAACACCGGGCAAGCGACACCCACAGAATGGTCTCGAAATCAGACCTTGTCTTCTATAACCCCCAAACCCAGCTCCTCGGCATGCGAATGTACTCCTACGCCACCAAAGGCGCCGTTCCCGAACGCGGCAGCATGGTCGTCTACATTGACGGCGCCTGCCGCAACAACGGCACCCCCTCGGCGCAAGCATCGTGGGGTGTGTACTTTGGTCCCGGGTCAAGGTACAACGCCTGCGGGTTGCTTTCTCCAGACCTCCCGCAGACAAATTCCCGGGCCGAGATTGAGGCGCTTGTGCAGGGGTTGAGGATCATTTGTGATATTACGGCGAGGGATTACTCATTGAGCCGGATCAAGATTGTGACGGACTCAGAGTATCTTGCAAGTGCCATGTCGCTTTGGATTGGGGAGTGGATCGAGAATGAGGGGCTGAATGCGAGGGGGAAGAGGGTTGCGCATTTCGAGGTGTTGAGAGAGTTGCATGAGCAGTTGGATGAGATGACCTACGGGGATGATGGGGGGAGGGATATCATGTTTTGGGCTGTGCCGAGGGAGGACAATACGGAGGCGGATGCGTTGGCTAATCAGGCATTTCCAAATAGTCGTAGGACGTTTTGATGAAGATGGAGTTTGTAACTTATAGAGCTTTTGATGAAAGATTATCTGCCCTTTACCAGATTTTGGAAAGTCGTTGGGAGCTACGCAACTGACTTGACGGGTTCGTGAACACGGTGGATTGTTCCCGTCGACTATATCCTATTTCTTCGTTCTAGATGGCTTAAGTTAGTGTTAGCTACTCTCAAACCACTTTATATGCCCATCGCTGTGTGCCATTACTTATGACATTGAATTCGTCGCAGTGCCGTTAAGCTTGGATCATGTACTGGTCAAACCTTTGAACTCATGACATTCTAGATTTTGTTCTTATGGTAGATTTTATGACCAGTGAAACTTTGAACTCACTTTGGGCCGTTGGACAATATAACAATGAGAGGTTTTCACAACTAATGAACTTCGGCAATCTGGATTGGTCCGGCTTTGCTTACATCACGTGACTGGTAATCGTCACTCGAGTAGCAGGATCCTCTTTAACAACCTAACTGCATGAGGTGAAGTGCATTCAATTGCATATAATCATTCTTAGGAGCCCAAAATTACTTGACAAACCCCACCGCGATGGGGACTCAATCTCACGGTAACCCGTGGTCTCATATATGTGAGCATTGTTTGAGTATCTTCTCTGAAGCCAGAGATGTCTCTCCATACGGTCTGTGGTCTCCCAAACAACAAGATGGCTACAGGCTTCCGCACACGAAAGGGAACCTAGAAAACGGAAAGCGCGATGGTTGTCGCCTCTGTTGTCTCATATGGTTTCGACGCTTGAAGTTTGGAGAGAAGAGCGAGATTCCATGGCCAGATTGGTATGAATTGAAGCCGGACGACGATCTCGAGCTTCGATACGGGTTTGCCAGCGGAACTTCTGGTTATAAGATTCACATGGGAATTTGGAGATGGGCCGAGGGTAACGATAATAAGGTGTACAGCTTTTTCTGTAACATCGAAGAAACAACGGGTTTGTGATGCTCCTCAGCAATTATCCCGCTCAGAAACAAGGAACTCATAAAATGGACAGACGAATTCGTAGCTTCGATCCCAAAAGAAAAGTCACTGTTGGCTTGCAACACCAACACTGGCTCGGACCAAGCTTTCAGTCTCGCTCAAAAGTTTCTCTCGGATTGCTTGGCATCGCACGATTGCTCAATGCCAAATAACAACGGATGGGCCCCTACACGTCTAATCGATCTAGGACAGTCACCCTCCGACGTGGCCAAGGTTGTCACGTCGGCGTCCCTACCGCGCCCAGTCCGTTGGATGACGCTGAGTCACTGCTGGGGTTTCAAGCCACCGTGCGTTCTCCTAGACAGCAACATCACGCAATATATGAGAGAGATACCTCACTCAGAGCTCTCACGAACCTTTTCTGACGCCTTCATCATCGCGAAGAAACTCGGCGTTCGATATCTGTGGATAGATTCCATTTGTATTATCCAGCGAAGCGAAGAGGACTGGCGACGAGAAGCTCCTACCATGGGCAAGGTGTACAGCCTGTCACATTGCACCATATCTGCAAGCCATGCGACGGACGGATCCGGCGGCTGCTTCTCGGACAGAGACCCCTGGACCGTCTTGCCTTGTGTTATACCGTCACCATTCTCGACGGACCCCAAGGCGCCACCGTTTCTCCTCCACGGGGAAGACCTGCAAGAGAGATGGAAAACGGATATTTCACAAGCGCCCTTGCATAAACGAGCTTGGGTCTTTCAGGAGCGGCTGCTTTCTCCCAGGACGCTCTACTTCGGTCAGCAGCAAATCCTATGGGGCTGTGGCCAGCACGAGCTCTGTGAATCGTTTCCCGGAGGTGTGCCGTCGCAGCCCGCTTCGATTTGGTGGCAGTTCATAGGCGACCGGAGAAGCTTCCGGAATATGCTGCTCGCGAGCGCCGGTACCAAGCCCTTCGAGCGGCTATGGTCAGAAACGGTGAAAGAATACTCAAAGACACAGCTCACGTTCCCCAGCGACAGGCAGGTGGCGTTTTCAGGTCTTCCCGGTCAGTTGAAGGAAGAGCGTGGTACCCAGCAAGCATATGGTGTTTGGATTGATGAGAGTTTGCCCTGGTCTCTGCTTTGGGGTACTGAAAAAAAGGTTCAGGCGCGGCCGACCAATTATCTAGCGCCCTCATGGTCATGGATGACACTGAATACATCAGTAACATTCGGAAACTGGTATCCGCATGGGACGGGGCTGGTGAAGGCTGTTGGTCTCACTACGTCTGGCTTTGGCGGCACGAATAGGATCGGAAAGGCAGAGAACGACGGGCTGGTTCTAGAGGGTGTCCTCAAGATGGCATTCTATAGAAAAGATGTTGCTAGCGAGGGCAACATAAGCCACATGATCTCGCAACTGAACGGCAGAGAGGAAGAGTCGTTCCAGCTCCCGTTGTCCAACAGTGCAGAGGATTGGCAAGCGCTAGGTTCCATACTCCGGCCGATATCTTCCGATTTAGAGACGGAGTGGACGCAAATGTACGCTTGGGACTCACCTGAAGAGACGCCGAGAGGAGATATTGTCATCTGTCTGCCGTTGGTCAACCATACAGATCGTGTTTTGAGGTTCGAGGGACTGTTCCTCGAGCCTGTGCCGCATCCGCCGAACACCAATACGATTCTATCTACAAACGAATCGGAGGGTGATGGATTACTGCATAAGTTCAGGCGCATTGGAAATTACCATCTCATGCACCGTGCCAACTGGGTGGCATCAACCGAGAAGTTGCGATTCATGCTCATTTGATCAATCGAACGAACATGGTCTTGGACGGTTTCTGATACGGAAAAGTCCGAAAGACCAAATGGCAAAAGAGTTCACACTCCCGGTGCTGAACTAGGGGCTACATCTCTTGATACTCATGCTAGGATTCGAACTCGGGAACTCTCGCTAAGCCTGTCGTCGAGTTGGCTGGTCGGCGTATAATTTGATTGTTGACCTTAGACCACTACGCCACCAGCCAGCTCGACCCGGCCCGTCGACCTAGATGGGCGCCTGATGGCTGGTGACAGGAATGGAGTTTATGCGACCTACATGGGCTTTCTCGCGGTGTGTATTCGTGAGGCTGGATTTGATGGGTGTATATCCAGGCAGACGTGGCGAGAATGTGGACAAGGAATTTGAGGCAGGTACTCATCAGTCTCTTGAAGGTCCCCACCTGATACAATCAGACTTGTGGACAATCGAAATGTAACGTCGTTATTCAAAGGCGCCCTGAAGCATGAAATGAAGTGGAAGTTTCGTTGATTCTTCAATGAAATGCAGTCCTCATTTGTCTACCTTCCACCCAGTATGCTGTCATCCCTGTCTGTTTTGTTCTGAAAACCCCAAAAACTCCGTATCTATGCAGCATTCAGTACTCGTATTCTCTCCCTTATGCCGGCGCAGTTCCGCTAGGCAGGGCACTTCCGCTCGGAGAACCGCCTCCGCCGCCTTGCTCGCTCTCAGGGCCACTCAAAGAGGGGCTGTTCTCGGTATCGATACCGATGGTGATGTAGCCGACCATGCCCTTGCTAATATCGCTGTCATCGAGTGGTACAATGTCAATGACGGGGTTGTAGCCGTTCGCGAGGCCTGAAGAGTAGACAGAGTCCACGTCGTTAGTGGTGCGGTTGATCTCAGTGTGGCTGACATAGGGCTCCAATGCCATGATCTCCTGGGAAATGGACTCGTTGAAGTACAGCTGGCCAATGGAGTTGGTGTTGCCAGTCTTGACCGTGCCGTTGCTGTGTAGAACCCAGTCGGTGAAGACTAGTTGAATCTGTTAGCCTTGAAGAATTCCACTTATTGACGTAGAAGCTTACCTTGAGCGTGGATGTGGATGGATCTTTGGATGTAGAAGCCAGGGAAAATGGTCTTCATCTCAAGGATACCCTCATCGTTTGAGGGCCACATGCCGCGCAGCCATGTGGTGTCATCCGTGTGAAGATCCGTCGTGCCAATCTCAAAGTCGGTAACATTGAGAGACTCGAGCAACTCCCGGAAGTCCGTGTTGGGGTCACGTCCAGTGAAGCTGGAGTAGCTGCCCGTGGAGTTGCAGTGCCAGAACGCAACAAGTGCGTTGGGAAGGGGCTCGCAGGTAGCCATGTCAAGGACACCGACGTCGAGGATGAGAGGAGCACCGACTTGGTCCTCAGTCATGTCCTGCCGCAGGGTCTCGGACCGAGGCCAGTAGTACGGACCAGCGGTGACATCGGGAGCGAGGACGCAGGTGTCGTTCTGGAGGGTGTCGTAGTAGGGGCCCTCAGTAACGATAGTGTAGGAGCTGTTGCCGGATCGCTTGTTCAGGCTAGCTTCCTCCTGGCGCTTCTCAAATCTCTTCTGCTTGAACTTCGCGGCTCCGGAGGCACAGCGCTTAGAGAGATCGGCGTGGCGTTTGATAACTCCGGGGGCTACCTCTTTGTGGGCAAGTGCCAAGGAGACGAACGCGCCAATTGCAACGGTTGAAAGTTTCATGATGTGTGGAGAGAAGGTTGCTGCCGAGAGATAGTTTGGATGAACGAGAGATTGAGAGACGTCCAAACTCCATACATCTTATATATGTCTCAACCGTTGCCATGTTTTGAAAAAATGGTCACTGTTGATGCAAATGCCATGCCGGCAGCCTCAGTTGAAGACCTGATTCCCCTGAACGCGTCACCGAGGATGAACAAGTTGTCGGCATTCCGCCCTCGACTGGGTACACGAATAGCGAGCGGGCAGTGTAATGACGAATCAAAATCCTGTTATTACAAGTCTAGACAAGCTTGTAGCATATCGACAATCTAAATTAGGCATATACGGTGCCACAGCGTTCGCAGAGGCTGACGACTGTTCCGACCTTTTCTCCACTAAATATTCGGAATGTGGGTGAATGGGGGCCGCGGACCACAGTCTGTACGGATAGATCAGGACGATTTACGAATGCGAGTATTCTCTATTTGTGGTTGGAAGTAATACTTCATTGGGGAGGATTGAGGCTTCGGTGTATCCGTAGATCATAGCGGAAGAAGATATAGGGGCCCGGATCCGAAAAGTACGATAGATGGGAGCCGAGCCGCCATCACATCTTTCATGTATGATGTACCTCTGAGTGCATTCGACCAGACACTTTTCCCAGAATATTTGCCATGGTCTTACATTTTCGTTTCTATCCCTAAGCCATACTGAGGATATGGTGTATGGTTTGGTGAGATCCTCGGGTGATGACACCGGCTAAGAGGGTGCAAATTACACTGCTCTGTACCGTCAGCCGTTCTTGAAGTGGAGTTGCCGACGGCTGATGGTGGACAACTCGGTAAAGAGATTGAGTTGAGAGCTGTTTGGGTCTGACTTCAGTGGCGATTAGCCTACGTATGAGTCCATACGAGGTCTCGGCGCACTGCGGCATGTTCTGGTTCCCTACAGTGTTCTGGCCTCTGGATGGACGATGTTTGCGGCGACAATTGCTCAGTCTCTCAGATGAGTCAAATGTGCAACTTGAAGAAGTTGATACTTTGCACTTTGCTCTGTATTATGCAGGCTAGTGTACTAAATAAGTCAACTTCAGTTGACAGACAACGAAATATGCGAGTCAAGATATGCAGAGAGAAGCAGGGGGGATAATGAACAGGCACTGTCAAAGTCAGACATCATCGGAATAAGGTAATTTTCGCCTAGACGCACGGTGTCAATACCTCATCATAGGCCCGCTAGAGCCTCAAGGAAGCATCAACTACCCTTCCATTGGCGAGTTGGAGTTCTCGTTGTCATAATTAGTGTCAGATGCTCCTCGACTCCTCACGACAGCATGAACCTAGGAGTGAGCGGTGTTGTTGTATGAGTAGCCCAGGACCACGAGGTCTGCCAATTTGCCGCCGTCGGATTTCATGCCTGGCGTGAACCAAACCTTTGTCCTATCTTGAAGGTGAATTCATTGTAGCCACAACGGACAAACGGTGCCCTCGCACTCCGCGTTGGTGAACCTTAGGAATCCATCACAGTCCGTGTCGCGTCAAAACACCAGGCTAACCCCCACATCGTCGGAGTTGGGACAAAAAAAGGTTTGCGTAATGGAAGTAAAACAGACTTATTGAGCGGGGAGTCGTGACAAGGAGCAAGACCTAGCACGAACAGAGCCGGAAACTGGGAAGAATTTTATGACGATGGTCGTTGCTTTTGAGGACGGTTCCCCGGGGGCATCAACAACTATCCCAGATTTCAGAGATCCACCCATCCCGCTGTCGGGCACTTGTCTGCTTCCGAAGCTTGCAACATGATCTGCATGACTCGGAACCTAAGAGGCGCGGTCCCCAGTTGTAAGCGCCGCTGATTCGTTTGAGACGGCTGCGGGCAGGGTTGGCGGCGGGTCGCGCAGAGTTGCAACGACGGGAGTCCTGCCGGCGGGCAGCAATTTAGCACCGTGATATGCTAGAAATAACGTCAACGTGGAGATGTTTGGAGTAAGTCTTGACTTGTAATGCCAAATGTCTCGTATATTCTTGAAACGGGTGATTAGTCTTGGTTCACCGCTGAGTTATCCCCTCTGAGGATGGGGGAAGTATATAAGTTGATTGTAGGCGCACTTACACTTTTGATCATCTCCAAGCGTGGTCTATCAACTCATGCTTCATACTTGTCCCACTACCAACTGCCAAGATGGAAGTTATAGCACCTCCCAAACACTTCCTTAGCTTATGGGCCGACGACTTATCTCTCATACGGAAACTAGATTTATGGACATCACTATGTCTCGGCTTCATTCTCATCAGCATCTTCACGATAATACCCCACATTCTCAAGCCTTCTCGCAAACTCCCCTCGGTCAATCCGGGGCGAATCTTTGATTTTTTCGACCAAGAACGGAAGAAGGGATTTTTGATGAATGCTCGTCGTATCATGGAAGATGCGCGAACTCAATATCCCGGCCAGCCTTACAGACTCATGACGGATGTTGGTGAGACCGTCGTCATCCCGCCTGATCTCGTCCACGATATCCGCAACGAACCGGGGTTGAGCTTCTCAAAGGCTTTTGCAGATAACTTCCATCCTCAACTAAACGGATTCGAAGGGTTTGCGGTCGGTAACAGACCTGATGGACTTTTCCAGCTCGTCATCAAGAAGCGTATCACCAAACTGCTCAGTAAGCTTTCTCTCTCAATCACGAACTTGCCCTTTTCTTACCCCACACCCCACATCGAGACCCCACGTCACACCAATACACCATCACGATACTTAGCTTACATATTGATGCAGACCAAATCACGGAGCCTCTTGCGTCAGAGACCCGATTCGCCGTTGATCACATCTTCGGAAAGCCCACCGGTAAGTTCTTTCACACAATCACTGCAGAGGAGCATCTCATTTTCCGTCCACATTGCTAACCCACTTATGACTGTTCTTTATAGAATGGCAAGAGTACAACACCAAAGACACCATCCTCGACCTCATCTGTCGCCTCTCCTCACGGGTGTTTCTCGGTGATGAAGTATGCCGCGACGAAGCCTGGCTGGCCATAACAAAGTCTTACACCGTCAACGCCTTCCTCGGCGCCGAGATCCTGCGTCCGTACCCATACTGGCTGCGTTATGCTGCAAACTTATTCCTCCCCGAGTGCAAGACTCTCAGGCGGCAGGTCACTGATTCACGAGATATCATTGAGCCTGTACTTAAAAGACGCAGAGACCTACGCCAGCGGGCTCAGGAGAGGGGCGAGCCGGCGCCGAAATTCAACGATGGCATTGATTGGTTTGAAGAGGAGAGTCAGGGGCGAGAGTATGATGTCGTTGGCGCGCAGCTAGGCTTGTCGGTCGTTGCAATCCACACCACTACAGATCTACTCGTCGAGACTATGCTGCGTATTGCGGAGCACCCAGAGCTTTTTGACGCCTTGAGGAAGGAGATCGTTGAAGTTCTTACCGCTGAAGGTTGGAAGAAGACGGCCCTTTTCAATATGAAACTCATGGACAGCGTTCTCAAAGAGTCACAACGA